GGGAGCCCGGGGTCAGCGCGCAGAGCGCGGGCGGGAGAGCCTCCCCGCCCTAGCGTCGGGTTGGGCTGGGCCGATTCAAGTCCCGTATTGGACTCTCGGTCTTGGGTAGTAGAGACCGAGACTGGGACACGCCCCCCTCCCAAGGCTCTCAGGGAAGTTATCTAACCCGAGGGCAGGGAACCCCGAATTTGAGGGTGACCTGACATAACCTGGCACCCGGATGATTGTTCTGAATGATACACGCGGGCCCGGGGAGGTAGCTGTTTCTACTCTGGAAAACATCTCCAGAAAAGCTCCCAAAATATTCTCTGCGTAACGGAGCACCCCGATGATGATACCTTTAAACTGCAGGAGAAGGTGACAGCAGAAACTGAGTAGTAACCTTTGCTTCTGCAACCATCATTTCTGTTAAAATCTCAAGGCCAGGATATAGTACTCAGGAGGGCTCTGGAAGCTGGGAAACTAGAGGAGGGTGCTTGTTAAGGAGAGGAGACCCAGTCACCATAGTTGGGAGAGAGGGAATCAGGAAGCTCAGGAGGGGTATTGAGTGTTTCCTATCCAGGTGTCTCAGGGATTTGGAGACTGGGGCCACAGCTGCTTCAGTCCTTGACAGAAAAATAGGCAAAGAAAATGCCTGTAAGAAGTGTTTTTCAGCTTTCATAACCTCACATTCCACTCCTGGCTAGGCCCCCCCAGGATGCAATGGCACAGCCCCCCCGGCTGAGCCGCTCTGGTGCCCCCCCACTTTGGGATCCAGCTTCCCCTGCTCCCACCTCTGGCCCCAAGCCTCGACTTTGGGAGGGTCAAGATGTGCTGGCCAGATGGACAGATGGGCTCTTATACTTGGGGACCATCAAGAAGGTAAGACCTTTGACCTCTGACCTGTCACCTTCCCCCATTCCCCTTATCTAGTTCTGATTCCCATTTTTATCCTCTGCCTTCACCCATTCCAGGTGGACAGTGCTCGGGAGGTGTGTCTGGTCCAGTTTGAGGATGACTCCCAGTTTCTGGTTCTATGGAAAGACATTAGCCCTGGTGAGACCCCAGAGGCCTGAGTGTGTGCATCCCATGGAAGACAGAAACCTGACTTGGGAGACAGAAAGGGGCTTAAGAACAGGCTCCATCCCCCTACCCCCAACCCTAACACTGTGTTCCCTCACAGCTGCCCTCCCTGGGGAGGAACTCCTCTGCTGTGTCTGTCGCTCTGAGACTGTGGTCCCTGGGAACCGACTGGTCAGCTGTGAGAAGTGTCGCCACGGTGAGAGGGCAGGATACCTGAATGGTCCAGCTTGTTCTGGACATTACAGGCTGCCTCTGACCCTTCCCACTGGTACTGGTCCTTACGCCACCTGGCCCGAGTCCCCAAGCCACTGCTCTGACCAGTCTCCTCAACTCTATAACCTTACTTCCTCTTCAACACAGGGAGAGGCAGCCATGGAATGGGGATGTGTGAACTTCACAGGCAGAGGGTGGTTCAAATACTCCTTCTTAAGCATATGACTTTGGGCAAGTCTCTAAAGTACTAGGAGCCTCAGTTCTCTCACCTGTGAAATAAGGGTAATAACCTCCCCCCCAGACAGTACATGGTCAAGGATTAAATGAGATAGAGAAGACTCTTCTCCCAATACCTAGTACGCAGGTTTACAATTCAGTAAGTGCTCTACCATCAATATCATTATTCAGCTTATCACCAGGACTGCCATGTTCCAAGGGCCCCAGCCCCTGGAGAGGGAGAGGGCACGTCTTGGGTCTGCCGCCAGTGCGTCTTTGCCATCGCCACCAAGGTAAAGGCACCTTCCTATGAGAGTCTCCCATCCCCACAGCCTCTCCCCAACCTTTCCTCTACCCACCCTCTGAGGTGGCCTGCCTGTTCTATTTCTGCAGAGGGGCGGTGCACTGAAGAAGGGCCCCTATGCCCGGGCCATGCTGGGTATGAAGCTATCTCTGCCATATGGACTGAAGGGGCTGGACTGGGACGCTGGACATCTGAGTAACCGGCAGCAGAGCTACTGTTACTGTGGTGGTCCCGGGGAGTGAGTAATGAGGGGCGGGGGTTAAGGAACGAGTGATGCGGTGTGGTGATGTGGGAAATCCCAGGGAATGCAAGAGAAAGAACAGGGGAGGGTATGGCAATAGATAATGATCAGGGTTTTGGGCCGTTAAGGGGGCAAGTATCTGGAGGTCACTAGTTCTGTGTTGCCCATCAGGTGGAACCTGAAAATGCTGCAGTGCCGGAGCTGCTTGCAGTGGTTCCATGAGGCCTGCACCCAATGTCTGAGCAAGCCCCTCCTCTATGGGGACAGGTGAGACCAGGGCAGACTCTCCAGGAGTAATCTGCCCCACCCTCTGTTTCCCTACCTCTGCCTATCTCATCTGTTCTCTTCCCAGCTTCTGAAGTGTTCCTCACTAGTTCACCCTACTCTTACTTCGTGAGTCCTCCACAACACCATTTTCCTGTTTGATGTGTGTTCTCTCCCTCTTGCTCACCCCCAGGTTCTATGAGTTTGAATGCTGTGTGTGTCGGGGGGGGCCTGAGAAGGTCAGGAGACTACAGCTTCGCTGGTGAGCATGATCTCAGTGTAACCCTTCTCTCAACACCCCATTTTTCACTGTACCTGCCCAACTTCTCACTCTGGACTCCCTTGGCTTTTGTGATGCCTCCACAACCTTGACAACTCAATTCTTCTCCAGGGTGGATGTGGCCCATCTTGTCCTGTATCACCTCAGTGTTTGCTGTAAGAAAAAATACTTTGATTTTGACCGTGAGATCCTCCCCTTCACCTCTGAGAACTGGGACAGTTTGCTCCTCGGGGAGGTAAGGGGTGGTGAAGCTTTGGGGGTTAGGGTGGAATAAGGAGATGTGAAGAAAAGCAGGGAGGGAGGGATCACTGCTTCCTTGAGCCTACTTTCTGTCCTCTTCCCCAGCTCTCAGACACCCCCAAGGGAGAACGTTCTTCCAAGCTCCTCTCTGCACTCAACAGCCACAAGGACCGGTAAGTTGAAGAGAGGCTTAGAAAGGTACAGAGATATGGATATGGAAGCCTGGGAGGGGAGGTGCTTCAATCTACTTGGAAGATCATCTCTAGAAAAGATTCAGTAATGGCAAAAGAGGGGCCGTTTTCTACAGTACTGATCTGTGTCATTTCTCTCCTCACCCCAGTTTCATTTCAGGGAGGGAGATTAAGAAGAGGAAGTGTTTGTTTGGTCTCCATGTTCGTATCCCTCCTCCTGTGGAGCCCCCTACTGGAGATGGAGCCCCTACCAGGTCACTGGTCCAGGGGGCGTGGGGAAATTCTCAGGGTATTAATCTGGTGGTAAATATATATATGAAGATGGGGAGGTCTTTGGGGTGGTCCGGGAGGGGGCTGGGGGGATAAGGAGGCCTCTTACAGCTTCCCTTCAGGGCAGGGCCCAGGGGGAGGGGTTCCACGTCCCCTGGGGAAGCGCCGGAGGCTGGAGCCAGAGCCCCTGAAGAGGCAGAAGGAGAAGATGGAGGAGCTGGGGCCACCTTCAGCAGAGCACAATCAGTCAGAGCCCCAGGAGCAGAGGGAGCGGGCCTCTCTGCAGAAAGCACTGCAGGTACAGAGACCTGGGGAATTCCATGGGGAAAATGCTCCTATGGGAAGGAATCAAGAATTATCTCTCAATCCTTTGCTCCTGCCTCTAGGCCTCAGTGTCTCCACCACCCCCCAGCCCTAACCAGAGTTACCAGGGCAGCAGCGGCTACAACTTCCGGCCCACAGATGCCCGCTGCCTGCCCAGGTCAGTGCTTCTACCCGCTCCAACTAGATCTGCTCCTTGACAATCTCTCCTCCAATTATATATACCCTCTGAACTTTCTCACCCAGAATTCTTTTCCCTCTACCCCTTGGCTACCCACTTCTTGACCTAGAGAGACTTCTAGAACCAATGTCTGAACCCCAGTGTCTTGAGAATGGGGATCCTTCAGGGGCAGTGTTTGAGCTCTGTGCTTGGGTAGAACATCCTGTTCCCCTGCTTTGGGTCCTAACTTCTCTCCCTCCCCCATCCCAGCAGTCCCATCAGGATGTTCGCTTCCTTCCACCCCTCTGCCAACACTGCAGGGACCTCTGGGGATGGTGAACCCCCAGACAGGTGAGGTTTTACCCCTTTACCTTTGATACTACTCGGCCTCTGTGTTAAGGTCCTCAGGCTCCAACTATTTCATTTTTCTGATCTATATATCGTCTCCATTTCTGGTCAGTAATTACCTGTGTGGCTGGACTCACAATTGCCTTCTCTCCTTAGGTCACCCCTGGAACTTCACATTGGTTTCCCCACAGACATTCCTAAAAGTGCCCCCCACTTGATGACTGCCTCATCTTCCTCAGCCCCAGCTCCCTCCCCAGGTCTTCCTAGACGCTTAGCAACCTCTTCTCCCCTGTGCCGTAGTTTGTCTCCAGGTACTGGGGGAGCAGCCAGAGGTGGGGTTGGCTATCTGTCCCGAGGGGATCCAGTCAGGGTCCTTGCTCGGAGAGTACGGCCTGATGGTTCTGTGCAGTACCTGGTTGAGTGGGGAGGTGGGGGCATCTTCTAAATAGCCTGCCTCTGCCCACCTCCCCATTCACACACACCGGCACTTTCGTACCCTGACCTCTGACCTCACCTGCAGCTGGGATGTACCTGGGGAGAGTAGGGGGTCGTTCTCCCTATCGCCCAGGCGGAATCCAGGTTGGGGAGTGGAGAAGCGGTTCTCTCTTCTCTACTCCCTTCATGATTCCTGAGCTTCCCCCCACCCCCCTTTCCCATTTCCTGTGATGTTATTTTGTTACAGCTTTTAAAATATTTTTAAAAATTATTTAATCCCTGGGGACGGAGACTGAGGAGGGGAGGGATGATAAAGGATCCCGGGTTCTGTATGATTGAAATAAAGATAAACAAACCTAGCAGCTGAGTCATTCTGAAAGATGAGAGCACAGGTACTAGAAGCACTTCTAATCTTCCCAACCGAATTCACATATGTTGACAAAAAAAGGCAGAAAGAACCAAAGACAGGATTTATTAGAAGCCCAGTCATCCTCTGGAAGTCAGAGCATGGAAGTATATGAGGAAAACATGGCAGGGGCAGGGCTGATCACGGTAGAGCTGTGTTGGAGTTAAAAACTGACTCTGTAACCTGGTGCACCCAATGCAGGTATGGGGAGTTTCCCTGCTCCACAGGCAATGCAATCACCTCAGCCACTTCGTAAGGATGCACAGAGCTGCAAAAAAAGATGGGGAAGGGGTGTCACTCAAAGATTTACTCAAAGGAGCCCACCCACTCAGACTGCCCTGCAAGTCCCACCCCACAGTACCCACCCTCACCCCAGCCATCTCAAAGCTCTTACCGAACAAAATCTGTCAAAGCTGGAACCAGGGAACTTCGGGTTTTAATCATCTAAGGGGTGAAGACAAGGTTGAATCCCACAGTGGGGTTGATTTTGTGATCTCGAGGGCAAGGGGTCAAAGGGAACAGAGAATTGAAGTTTTGTAGGGTGGGGAAATGATTCTCACCATCAGCACCTCACTGTCTTCTTCAATCTTTCCTTTCCACTCATAGCTGTAAAGGTCAGGGAAAGTATTATGGGAGCAAAGATTTTTTTCCCCTAAGGGAAAAGTTTGCCAGTCAGCCCCTAAAGTTAGATTAACCATGAATTCCTGGGACTCACATGGATGTGATCTGAGGGATGAGGTTGACACAGGCTGCCAGGCGCTTCTCCACCACTGCCCTGAAGGTGAAAAGACAGCCCCATTTATAGCACCCCACGACCCCTATTTTTGCCCTGCTAGCCCAGAGACAGGTTTCCAAAGCTGGAGCAGGCAGAAAGCAACGGGAGGTCACTCTTCTCTAACACCCCCAACTCTCCCTTCAAGATCATCCTCTCTCCACACTGGAGTCCCCACCTGGCGATCTCCTTGGCGACCTTCTCATTGGGGCAGGTGACAAAGGCTGCAGAGACCGAACCAGGATCATAGCCGGAGTCAGAGGCCGGCGAGGGCTGGGGAGGGGGGCTTCCTGAAGCCATTGACAGCAGGGCTCGGGGTAGCAACAAAAGGCGGGAGGCCACAGAGAGCAGCGCCGGCATCCAAAGAAGAGACAGGAGCAGAGCAGCCTGGGGGCAGGCAGTGAATTTGGTGTCTCCCCACAAATACCCCAGGCAACTGCTTCCCGGAAATCCTTCGCTTGGATAGACACTCGGCTTTTGCCCTCCCTCTTATGCACCCCGGAGGAAAAGGCCCCTGAAGCCGAGAGAGAGACCTAAAAAAATTAAGGGAAAGGCTCGGTTTTTATTCCCTCCTCAGGGGCCAACTCGGGTTTTGGGTACGGGTGGTGGTGGGCAAGGCCTCGAGGTCCAGGGGGCGGGGCTGGTCACTCACCCCTCCGCCGAGCAGGACTGCGGGGGCCCGCACCCCCCTCATGCAGCCTACGCTGCTAGAGGAGGGCTGAATATCAAAGGCCGCAAGTAACGCCGAGAAAGGACCCCAAACCCAGGAAGAGCGGCCTCTTCTTACCTGGGTGGCAGCCACGTGATAAGAAAACAACGCACACCACGTGACAGTAGGACAGGCACCACATGAGCCTCTAGAGCCAGCCAATCCCGGCTCTAAAGTGGCCCAGTTTGCCCCGCCTTGTGGGGGAGGAGCGAAGAGGGAGCTGACCAATCGAGAAGCCAACCTGCAAGCTTGTACGGAAATGGCACGCCCGTTTCCGTGTGAGCCGGAAAGAGCCAATTGCGTGCTCAGGACTGCCGCTGCTGCGTTCTACTGTCACGTGAGGAGGTCGGTCTTTGGTTGGAGGCCTCTCAGTGAGCTACGCGGAGAAGCCAATCGCAGGCCTGCCTCGCAGGCCGAGTGATGAAAGAATTGTGATAAGCGGGGCTGTAGGTCCCTAAGACTCGATGCGTCAGGTTGTGGAGTGGGGGATTCATTCTTAATCCCAAGAGTGTGCCTCTTAACAACCCCTACACTGTTCCCAAGACCTGAAGGAGTGGGAGGGTCTGAGAAAGCTGAACCTCCGGAGGTGAAGAGAGCGCCCCCTGCCCTTTTGGCTAGGACCGACACCTGCTTGGGTTTGGGAACGAACAATGATAATCTGAGAAGCCAACTATCCCTGGGGGTAGTGATTAGGTAGGCACTGTCGTGGCTACGCCATGGCTGGGTGAGGAAAGACTCATTCTTTTTAGAGAGGGAAGGAAGGGAGGGGGGAGAGAGAGAGAAACATCACTGTGCGGTTGCTGGGGGTCATGGCCTGCAACCCAGGCATGTGCCCTGGCTGGGAATCGAACCTGTGACACTTTGGTTCGCAGCCCGCGCTCAATCCACTGAGCTATGCCAGCCAGGGCTAGAAAAGACTCATTCTAAAAGGGCAGCGTAAGACCCCGTAAATGGGATAAAATGGGGCTACTGGCGCCTTGGCCTTTGTAATTTGAAACCCCCAAACTGGAGACAGATTGGTGAATCCAGGAAAAGTAGAGTTGAGGGCTACAGGCTGGGGATTAGGGAGGGATCACGAGGAAGTAGTGATGAACCTTTTGTGCCGTATCCCCTTCCTATTTCACTCCTCAGGACTGGTCTACCTGTCAGCCTTGGGTCTCCCTCCCTGAACTCATCCCCCTAGAAATCAGGACCTGCCCTACACATCCTGTGACCAAAAAATGGAGAGGGGCCAGTAAGAGGAGAGAGCGGTAAGAGGACGAAGTAGAGAAAAAGGCTCTTGCCACTCCCTCTACCCCAGTATTCCTCCTCCCTCCAAGGTCTGGGGTCTTGGGTCAGCTGGGTGGGCGTGACTGAGCATTTCTCAGGCTGATATCAGATTTTTTATACCTGCCTCTCTGGGGTTGGGGTCTCCCCGAGATCTCTGTCGCTGGTTTGGAGTTTGTCTCAGATATGTTTCTGTGTGGTCTTTCAGTGTTGCATTGGTTTCTTTCTCAGGACTGGGTTTCCTTTTGTTTTTCTGGGTCTGTGATCACTCTCCAACGTCTTTCAAACTCTTTATGAATTTGAGGTCACTGAGTTCATTCATCTCTGGACTAGCTCTCTTTCCTTCTTCCTTCCTTCCTCTTTCTCTCTCCCTTCTCCTTCTCCCCTGACCCCCAACCCCAAGGTCTGGAGTTTTCTGAGTTACCATTTTCTGAATCTGCAGTTTCCTTTCTGTGAGATCTAAATCGGGGGTCTCTGATATCTGAGTTCTTTCTGAATATGGGTCTTTTTCTTTGAGTCCAGGCCTCGGGTCTTGGGTGTCTGAAATTACCATTTGAGTCTAGAATCTAAGATTTCTGTGGCCATGGAGAACCTTTTTGAGACTGGTTGCTCAGATTTTGACCCCTCTCTCAAGGAGGTCCAGATTTTGGGGGAATTGGGTTTTTTCTTTTCTTTTCTTTTTAACTGAGTTTGAGGTCCGTTTTCGTCTAGATTTTGGATTTGTGCCTCAGATTAACCCCCCCATCCCCCGCCCCACCCCACCGCCCCCGGGGCCTCAAGGTATCTTTCTCTGGGTCTGCATCTTTAGAAGTGTCCTTTCTGTATCTGGTGTTTTTGAGTCAGGGGTCTCTGACTCTCTGGTTCTCACTGGGTAGGGGTGGGGGCTGCAGTCTCTCTCTCCTCCTCCTCCAGCTCTCTCCTCTCTCTCTCACTCCCCCGCCCCCCTCTCTCTCTCTCCCGGCTGCCGCTGCTGCCGTTGGCTCCTATTCTCCTCCTCCTCCTCCTCTCTCCTCCTCTCTGCTCCACTCCGCTCCTCTCTCCTCCTCTCTCCTCCTCCTCCACCTCCTCCTCCTTCTCCCCCTCTCTCTCCCCCTCTTTCTCTCTTCTCTTTCTCCCCCGTCCCCCGCCCCCTCCCCGCCCCCCCGCCCCAGGCCTGATGAGCAGGTCTCGCGCCTCCATCCACCGGGGGAGCATCCCCGCGATGTCCTATGCCCCCTTCAGAGGTACGTTGGTGAGGGGAGGGGGAGGGCCAGTTGGAGGGGGTAAAGGGGGGAGGGGCAGGGCGGAGGAGGGGGCAGAGCCGAGGCCAGGGAAGAGAGCAGGTGAAATGGAGGGAGACAGGAGGACTGGGAAGACAGGACAGAAGCAATGAGGAAGAAGGGACTGGAGGCCACAGCACAGGGGTAGATAGGAACCTGAGGGGCCAGGAAACAGGCCTTAAAGGGGGCTGAGGTGAAAATGGTGAAGGGGAAAGAGATCGCCAGAAAGGGTGGTGGGAAGATAAGGTTGGGGGGAAAGCGGCAGAAACAGTTTGGAGGTGGAAACTGAGAGATGTGGAAAATATCCAGGAAATAGAAGGGCAGAGTCAGGAGAGGGGCTTTGAGGGGGAAATGAAAACACAGGGGTGCAAAGAGAAGCCAAGAAGATGGGGGTCAGAATATGGTGGCGGGGCTCAAAGAATGGTATGGGGTAGAAAAAGAGAGGAGGATGGAGGGAGAGAATAAGGGGCCAGATGGAGAGGGAGGCTGTGTGTGAGGGGGAAGGGATGGAGGGTCCAGATGGAGGGAAGAGAAGAGAGGGAATGGGTTGGGGGAGGAGAGACCGGGGAGGGGGAGGGACAAACGTGTGTTTGTTGGGCTGGGGGCGAAATACAAGTAAAATTGAATGTTGGGAGTAGGGCAGCAGGTTAGACTGCCCAGACATCGACCCTCATTAAGGCTTTGACCAGTGTAACAACCCCTGGGGTCTCATCCGTTCCATTCACGTAACCACTTTTACCCCCTCCCCCACCTCCAATCCTTATTTCCATTCCTCTTCCCTCCTCTGGTGTCCATCACCTATATCTTTCCCCCTATATGGTGTCCGTTCCTTATGAGAGTCCCCCTTCTGTCCTTTCCCTGTATCAGTCCCTTCTTTGCGGTCCATTCTCTCTCCTCTTCTTTCTAGTAGCTCCCTTATATCTCTACCACCTCTTCACCTCCTCAATGACCCTCTTGTCTTAATATTCCTATTAGGTCTACCTGATTTCCTCTGCCCCGTGTCCGGTTGGGCCCTTCTGCTGTATTTCCTTGTCACTAGCAATTTGCCATAATTTCTACCTCCTCTTCTCCTAGATCCATCCCTGTCATCTGTCCCCCAGCCCATCTTCTATTCCCTACCCCATTCCCCATCTTATCATCACAAGTCTGTGTCTACACAATTTCCCCTAATACTCCAGCTCGTCACCCATTCCTCTTTTGTCTCCTCTACTTTTTGACTTGTTGGAGATTTGGGGTGAAAAGACACAGGTTTTGATGGTTGGAACAGGGACCACAAGAGACCTCCATCTGAGCTCTGTGTGATTTCTCATCCTTATAAGCCTTTCCCTTTTCAGCTGTGTTCCTCTGTCTCTTGCATCTGCCTCCCAGAATCATCCTTACTTAAATCCAGACAATATGTGTGTTTCCAGAATTGCTCCTAAGCTCCCTGTGTCCTTCCCTGCTCCCAGGAAGGTGCCCCTGAAGTTTAACCTGCCTCCCTGTGGCTGTAGCCTGAACCAGTCCCTCCCATAATGGTTATGTATATCAACTGACTTGTCCTCTGGGGGTCCTCAGAGTCTCAGTGCATTGGGCATGTTGCCTGCAGTGTCTGCAGACTCAGAGCCTTGGTGAGCTCTGTGTGTATAGAGGATATTGCTTATAGCGTCCCTGAGATAGAGAACAGTTTCAAAGTATTGGGGTTTTCTAGATATCTATATTCTGGGGACTCATCTCTGACCTACAGGTTGGGTAAATATGAAGGACATGTTTGTGGACAGAAAGGGGTTAGATTTTTCAAAACTCTTTTACTTAGGATATTCAGTTGGAATGAAGCTCAAAGATCAGTTTTTCCCCCCTGCAATATACCCATGATTAATTATCCTGTAGTGGTGACAGAATTTGCTGTGTCTTCCTCTAAACTCTCTCACACTTCGATGCCTTAGGCCTCTTTTCTATCACTTTGATGTCACCAATTTGATTTCTCTCTTCCATAGGGCCTGTCCCTGTGACAGTGTGTAGCATTCGGGTTTAAAGAAGAGGCCATATGCAGATGGTGGCATGGGAAGAACAGTAGAGTTAGGGAAGGGTGACCCTGGGGGCACCTCTGAGCATGGGCAATCCTTGGTCTACTGTTCTAGTTTTGTCTCCAACCCAAGCTCCAGTCTTTGGAGGCCCCCTTTATGTCACAGGCCTGGATCTTCCTATCTTTCCTCCCCTCTTTCTTCCTCAAGCTTCTTACTGCACCTTGGGAAGGTTCCTATGTCCTTGGACTTGGCTTCCACACTATGGAGACTAGGTGTGTGTGGGGGGGGGTGGGGGTATTGAGTCTTTGATCTCTGAGCATGAAGTGGGGGAAGAGATCAATTCAGTCTCTACTCAAACGAGGACATATTTCCTACCTCCTCACTCCCCAGCCCCTTCACAAGACCCTCTACCCTCTACCATCTGAAGAACCCAAAGGATGAACAGGGTTGGGCTAGGAGAGGAGGGGCAGGAGGGGGGACCCACTCATATCCCTGACTCTGAAGAGGTAAACTCCCTCACTCTCTTTTCCAGATGTTTAGCTCTTACAATCTCATGA